TTTTAGGACCAGTCCACTTTCGAAGGCGAAAAAAATCCAACTGTACCAAGCATATGTTAGGTCGGTGATTCTGTATGCTGTACCAGTGTGGAGCTCCATGGCGGAATCACACTGGAAAAAGTTAGAATCAACTGAGACGTCATGCTACCGAATCATCGACGGAGCATCATGGGAGGACAGAACTACAAACGCAACCATCAAGGAAAGGCTTCAATATACGCCACTAAGGGAGGTGGCCGAGAAAAGAACCAGGTACTTCTTCCACCAGGCACACGAAGACTCCTTAAGACCAGGACATCCTCGAGAAGAACAGGATCCAGAGGATGTACAGATCCACCCACAAACTGATCGACCACCTGATCAGGGTCTAGCCGGATGGTTGCCGGAAATCAGCCAAGCAAGGAAGTAGGTACGTTGCCGAAACAAGTACCTACAGAAGCAGACGAGGACACCACCGAGAAAACACCAGGATCCGAGAGGAAAAATCTACAGAAGCTGGCGGTGCAAGAACGGGACACCGAAGAAAAGAAGGTAAATTCTATTTTGACATGTTATATATTATTAGGCAATAAACGTATTTATTTTTATTTTTATTTTTATAATGTGGCTGTGTGGGGTCTTGTTTCTGAGGCATATGTCAATATTGGTCTTACACTGGCTTTATAAATTCTTGACTTCATCTCAGTGTTAATGTGTCTGTTTCGCCATATAGTGTTATTAAGGCATCTTGCCAGTCTATTTGCTCTTTGTACTTACTTTGTCCAGGTCTCCATAGCTAGATAGTGTCACAGGTATTTTATTTCCATTAGTTGTTCAATACTAATGCCATCAATTTCGATTTTACGTCTGGTTAGTTCTTTGCTGACTACTATTGTTTTAGTTTTCTAAAATGAGATTGTCATATTAAATTCTTTTGCTCTTATGTTAAATCTGTGGACCAGTCTTTGCAGACTATCTTCATCTTGGGCTATCAATATTGCGTCGTCTGAGTATTTTGATTTCTTTATTTCCCATTCTGTATCCTCTTCCTTTGTTAACGCTTTAGATAATTTTATCCATGATTAAATTGAAGAGCATCAGACTCAATTAATCCCCTTGTCATATTCCGCTGCCTATTTCTATAGATTCTGTAAGTTGTCCATCTATTCTGACTTCCATTTTGTTGTTTTGGTAGATGTTTTCGATAGTTTTTATAATATTTAGGTGACAAAGACAAAGAGGAATAGTAATAGTAATGTAAGGAACCAAAAGAGACAGTCGCAGGGATTTTTTCAGAAAAGATAAGTAACATCGAGCAAACATATAATGCAGAAGAATTACTTCAGAATATATTTGGAAATTTTATCAAGATAACAGAAAAAAATATAAAAGAGGACCAGTTGGATGAATTAACAATAAACTGCAACTCATGGACGAAGAAAGAAAGTTAAAAAAAAAACATAAGAATGTGAACAATTTTCCGAGAAAACTAAGAACTGAAAACGAGAGGCCAAAGAAAATGGGTGAAAACCCGGGTATAAAGAAATAAAGTTGACTTCAAAACAGAAAAGATCTACACGAAGAAAAATAAGGAGCTGTTACCAAAAGAAACTGCAAGAGATCTTTACCAAATACTTTTAAATTAATATCTGGATAAAAATTTCCGAAATTTCAGATTCCGACTGGTATATGAACTAAAAAAAGTTTTTTAGGACTTGTGCTAGCTCTATAGTATCATGGTCATTAGGAAATATTAATTCACTCTTTGTAAAAATAATGAACATAACTTTATTTAACTACAAACCATTTACTTAATACACGACACCATACTAATTCCTCTAGTAACATTGCATGGATGAAATAATAAAGAAAGTAAGAACTAAAAAAGGATACCAAATGGGAGAAAAACAACTTAAAATAATCTGCTATGCAGACGATGCAATATTACTCCTCAAAGTGAAGATGATTTACAATGTATATAACTCGCCAGACAATTTAACATGTTAATTTACCCAAAAAAAGACAAAATGCATGGTTACAACAACAAATTTACCAAGATGTAAATTGGAGCTGGAAGGTTAGATAATAGAACAAGTGATGGAGTTTAAATATCTAGTTCACATTATCTAGTTACGGAAAGCTCGAAACTGAAGTGGAAGATCAAGTGAATAGAGCAAACAGAGCCGCAGGTTGCCTAAATAACACAATATAGAGAAATTAAAATATCGGAAAGAAACGAAAGGCAGAATTTACAAAACAGTCATCAGACCGATAACGACAAGCGCGGCAGAAACACTAACTGACACAGAAAAAAACAAAAAGGATGTCAGAAATATCAGAGAAAATACGACACTATGGGACAGAGGTAAAAGTACAGACATACGATGTAGATGAAAAAAGGAGAACATCAAAAACTGGGTAAGAAAAAGAAGAGTAAAATGAATCGTAATGACCAATTAGTACAATATTGTCAAGAGAAAGAAATAGTCATCACAAACACATTTTATCAATTACCACCAAGAAGACTTGGAGTGCACCAGGAGACAACTATAATAATCTGATAAGAAAAAAAATCGATTACATTCTTGTCAACCAAAGGTTTAGAAATGGAATTAAAAGCTTTAAAACATATCCTAGTGCTGATGCAGACTCCGACCACAATCTACTTCTTGCCACCATTAATATTAAACTGAGGAAAAAACAGAAAAAAAGTAAAATTCATAGATTAGATTTGTCAAAGCTTGAGGGTGAAAAATGTCAACAACAAATAAATGAAGCAGTTGCGCCAGCATTCGCAGAGGCGTCAAAAAAAGATATTAATAGTGTCTGGAACGAAATGAAATCGGCAGTACTTAACGCTGGTAAAACGTTTGTGGGTAAAAAAGAACCAATTGCCAAAAAAGACTGGATGACACCAGATATTATACACCTCATGGAAGAAAAACGAAAATACAAAAATACAAATAAAGAGAAGTACAAGCAAATGAAGAAACTAGTAGAAACGCAGATCAAAGAAGCTAAAGAACACTGGATGGTAGAAAATTGTAGAGAAATAGAAGAACTTAATATGAAACAAGACACACACGGGCTACATAAGAAACTAAAAGAAATCACAGGAAATAATCGGAAAAGAATACCACAAGTTATACGAAACTCCAAGGGGGATCTCCAATAATCAGCAGTAGAAAAACAACAAACTTGGGAGAAATACATCAAGGACTTATTCGCAGAGAATAAATGATACATTACCACTATACACATACTAATATATATCTAAAAATTCTGATATCAGAGGTTCAACAGGCAATTAAAATCTCAAAAAGTGGTAAATGTCAGGTCCCGATGAAATTCCTGTAGAAATATTAAAAATCCCGAATGATGAAAATATAGATTGTCTAATAAATTATTTAATATTACATGATGCAAATCCCGGATGAATGGTAAAATCTATCTTTTTACACTTACCCAAGAAAAATAATCCTAAATCTTGCGATGAGTAAGATATTAGGATTATACACACTTTAAAAATACTACTCAAAGTTATTCAGCAGCGTATATATAAAAAATGTGAAGAAAAATTAGACAATACACAGTTTGGATTTAGATGTGGAATGGGAACAAGAGAGGAACTGTGCGCAATGACGGTACTATTACAAAAATGCAGGGAATATAATAGAAACGTATTCATATGTTAGATAGATTTCCAAAAAGCTTTTGATAGAGTCCAACATGGTAAACTCATACATGCATTGAAACACATACAACTAGATCCCAAGGATATTAATTTAATCAAAAATCTGTACTACAATCAAACAGCGGTCGTACGGGTAGAAGATAGTGAGACAAACCAGGTGGAAATTCAAAGAGGAGTCAGACAGGGATGTGTGCTGTCGCCACAATTATTTAATGTGTACTCCCAACTAATATTTCAGGAGGCACTATGGGAAAGAACTGAAGGTGTAAGGATTGGAGGGAGCATCATTAATAACATAAGATTTGCAGACGATACCGCAATCATGGCAGAGAATTTAGACGATTTACAAACTCTCCTGGAAATCATTAACAGAGAAAGCAAAAAGATGGAACTAACAATGAATATAAATAAAACCAAATACATGGTGATCTCAAAAAACCCTGTTGACAACATACAGCTGACATTGGAGGGTAAACCCCTAGAGAGAGTCGACAAATATAAATACCTCGGAGCAATTATAAACTCACAGTTAGATCAAGAGCAGGAGATAAAGGTCAGAATAGAAATAGCTCGAAAAGGTTTTATAAAATACAAGTCAATGTTTACAAATAAGAAATTGAGTATGGTCATCAGATTGAGGTTCGTCGAATGTTATGTTTGGTCGTAACTACTATATGAGGTAGAATCTTGGACTCTGAAAGCCCAATTTATAAAAAATTGGAAGCATTCGAAATGTGGCTATATAGGCGTATTTTTAAGATTCCTTGGACTGCAAAAGTCTCAAATAAGGAAGTGTTAAGACGAGTTGGACATGGCAGAAAGCTTATGAACACAATTAAAATAAGAAAAACATCGTATCTGGGCCACATACTCCGAAACGATAAATACTCTCTGCTACAAGTCATCATGCAAGGTAGAGTAGAGGGAAGAAAAGGCTTGAGAAGAAAGAAGAAATCTTGGCTGAGGAATATCAGAGATTGCACTAACCTCAGTGTTGAACAGATATTTCACTTGCAAAAGATCGAGAAGCGTTTAAAGAAGTGATCGCCTACCTTCGTTAGAAGACGGCACAAGAAGAAGAAAATTAATCGAAATGAAACGATTATATAAACCGAATGACAACAAATAGAGTAGTAAAGACGGTAAGAGACGGTTCCCAACAGGAAGACGATCAGCAGGAGGACCACGAAAACGATGAAACGACAACTTAGGTACTGGAGGCACAATGAAAAACAGATAGAGTCATGTCTGTATAAAAAGAGGAAGCGGAAGAATAAGAAGAAGAACATTGCATAGTTAATGCTGATAATTAAGTAAAAAAACTTACCTATGATGAAATATCGTCGCTGCGTCATTAATAAAATGCTCCATTACGACAAGATCAAACTCCTGATTGGAGTGCCATAGTTTTTGTACCTCAGGAGCGGTTAGTACATACTCTGTATAGGCTATACCTAGGTCTTGAATCCATTCCAATTGGCCCCAAAAGTTCATCTGTCCAAAATCCGACAAAGTGGATTGGAAACCTAAAAAAGTACTATAGATAAATTCACATTCAGATGGCAGCGTTGCAGAGATAGGCCTGTACTTTCTATATGCCAGAAATAACTACATTGTTGTCAGTTTTTAATCGTACCTACAATCGTACGTTATGGGCCGGCTCCTATAAAAGAATTATAATTTCGGAAATATTTATGAATGTGAAACGGAAAAATACTACATTTTTTTAATTATATAATTTTTCTGTTGGTATTTTAAAAATAGAAAGTTATATTTCTGAAATCTGGTCTTTTCGGAATTATATCTTCTGTTCAAAATTGTTTACAATTCACGGAAATGAAATAATTATTTGTATAATCCGTTTTGATCTTAATGTCCTTTTAATGACACACTTTCTCTACCTGCATTTACGGTTACAGACATTAAAAAATAATTTAGAATTAAAAAAATATACCTATTTATAAATTCAAAATTATTGTCTAATGCCAGCAATTATAAATTCAGGTAAATACTTGAGAGTCATTAAAAGAATTTTCAGTTAATATCAGACGTTTGTGTCGTGTCAGTGTCAAAATGGCCGCGTGTGTAATAAAATTCAAAAACGGTAATTTGTTAAATAGTGAATGCAAAAAAATAGTGTTAAATGTTTTTAACTATTTATCAAACAGTAATAATGATAAAAGTGTATCAACAATAGTGCGGGAAGTTTCTGCTATGACTGGAGTCTCTGAGCGAACGATATTCCGATATAGAAGTGAAAGTAAAAATGGTCCACTCGTAACTCCTATAAGAAAAAAAAGAACCGGTTAATTAAATAGTCGTGAGAATAGATATGATGAAGCAACTCGGTCCTAGAATAAGACAAGTAGTGCACGGTTTTTTTATGGACAATATTCCTCAACCCTTTGACGTAGTACTAGAAAAAATTAAGCAAATGGAGCATCTTCCGAATTTTTTCAAGAGTACGTTGAGAAGACTATTGCACGACATGGGTTTTATGTATGGCAAACAAGGTAGAAATTCAATATTAATAGAAAAACAAGAAATAGTCGCTTGAAGGCGTCACTATCTCCGGGAAATAAAGAAACTGAGGAACGAAGGAGCCAATATCATTTTTATATGGACGAATCATGGATTATTACTGGAATAACCAATGGGCAAGTATGGCAAGATACAACAATAAAAAATAGCCGACAGGCTTTCGTAAATGGACTTACCACAGGTTTAAAAAACTCCGACCGGAAAAGCACCAAGATTTGTTTTAGTCCATGCAGGAAACAAAGACGGATTTGTTGGAGGTGCTGACATCACTTTTCTTGCCAAAAAAGGTGCTGAAGATTACCATGAAGAGATGGACGGAGATCTATTTGAAAAATGGTTTGAAGAGATTTAATACCGAATCTCCCAAAAAATAAAAAGAATGTCATTATCTTGGACAATGCATCTTATCACTCTAGGAAATTAAATTTTCCCAAACAATATTGGGTGAAACGTCAAATTAAGGAGTGGCTCTATGAAAAGGACCTTTATTTTGAAGAAGATTACTTAAAAAATGAACTTCTGGAAACTGCTAATGTATTTAAAAATATTTATGACAAATACAAAATTGATTGTATTGGTGAAAAATACAGGAATCACAGTAACGAACAATGCCGCGTAGATGTACATATCTTAAGACTTCCGCCTTATCACTGTGAACTGAACCCAATAGAAATGGTGTGGAGTGAAGTGAAACGGTACGTGTCCTCTAAGAATTCAAGTTTTCAAACAAAACGACGTTAAAACATTGATTTATGAAGGTTATGATAACGTACAAAACAATGGACATTGGAAAAATTACGTCAACCATGTTATAAAATTGGAGAATAATTTTTGGACAGTAGACAACATTCAAGATGACATTGAACCTATTAGAATTCATTAAACGATGACTCTGAAGATGAACTAGATTATGAAAATGAAGATGATTGAAAATTGTTTTTTCGGGGGTATTCTTTTCTCAGTAAAGGTAATAAAATATTTAGTTGATCTGGTTGAAATGTAGCACACTTAAATAACTCATTAATCGACATAATTTCAAGTAGTTATATTAGACCGTCATTATGCAAAAAATAAAGTTATGAACATTTAATCAATTAGTGCACAATTGAGGCCCCTAGAACACAAGGGGTGTAAGTGCCAAAAACAAAGTTTTGAAAAATCTTTGTTCAAAGTTCGTTATAAATTTAAAAACCTAGGTAGCACTTTTTCAGTTTTCAGCATGTTTTCAATGATATGTAATTTTTGATTGTCTTATTGTTATTAATTTTGAAAGTTTGAAGCCAAAAGTACGTGCCTGTTGTTAGATATCAGTTGCTAAGTGATAAGCAACTGCACTTACACCCTTGTGTTCTAGGGGCCTCAATTAGGGGTTTTTTGCAATTATCTCAGTCATTTGCTTATGTATTTTAATTTACAAACTAAAAAATTAAAAAACTTTTTAAGATCTGCAACATTTATTTGAAACATTTTTCCCTAAAATGTACGAGGAACAAAATAGGCAAAAAAATGATTTTTTCCAAACTTCATCTTTCTTTAAAAAACAAACAAAGCAAAATTTGGCTGTAATTCTTCAAGGAATTATCATCATTATCCCTTATATACCGTTTAGAACATTAAAAAAACCTGTAGAATGTTTTTCATATTTTTTTCCCTATTAACTGCGGTATTATGTATAAAAGCATTTTAGTAATTATTACCATTTATTTCATTCACGAATTTTCTATTAACAACTTTAGCTTACCTAAACATATCTTAGTTTACCGTGAGTTTGGCCCTGCTTATTTTACAAAAGTAGCAAAACTTACAATGGCAGTAGAATTGACAACGCTGTTATCCTATATCCGTACACTGCCATCTGAACGTGACTTTATCTATAGTATTTATCATCCAGAATCTCTCAATCCCTCTAAATCAAAAAACGTCAACTAGAAACTCTTGCTATAAAACTATCTACAAATTCAAAAACAAAAATTTTCCATCATCTTCTACTTCTTTCAATAACTCTACTTCCAACACTACATCGAATACATCAAATAACTCATTATCCACCAACTCACCATTTACTTCTCAAAATTATTTATTCAATGTTTCTTTTCCACAATTATCAAACAAAAAACAGAAAGACCAACTCCAAATCCTCAAGTCTATTCAAAACAAAATTAAATCCCATAATCTATTAGTAAAGCAGACACAGGCAATTATTGCCTTGTCATTTTAGATCAAAATTCATAAAACGACAAGGTCACTACATTTCTTTCAAATAACAATTTCACTTTACTCCCCGAAGATCCAACAAGAAAGTTCATTAACAAAATCAAAGCCACCAATAAACTCTTCACAGAATTTCTTTCAGAACATAACGCTCCATATTATAAAATACCTGGTAACCCATTAACACCCAGATTGTATGGTTTACTTAAAATACACAAAGAGGGCATTCCCATTCGTCCTGTTATTAGTTTCATAAATACTCTAGTTTCTATTTTGTCAAAATTCATATTGAATCTCATCAAACAACTTGACGAACTTCACCCCTCGTTTTTCAGTCAAAAATACCATTCATCTAGTCAACAATCTTCAACAAATAAATCTTCATCCTAATATCACCATGCTTTCATTCGATGTCAGCAACCTATTTACTTCAGTCCCTAAACAAGAAACTATTAATCTGGTTCACTCTCTTCTACGAGCAAATTCTATCACTATGTCTACCACTAACTCAATTATTCAATTATTACATACTTGTCTAGCTCAAGACTTTTTTGTTTTCAATAGTAAATATTACAGACAACCTGATGGCTTAGCCATGGGTAGTTGCCTTTCCCCACTCCTAGCTGATATATTTATGGATCACTTAGAATCTACACACATTATTAAAAATCCTGAAATTCTCCACTGGTTTCGATATGTTGATGACTATTTTAGTCTTCATATCAGGTAACTCAAATTCAGCTGTTCTGTTACTCTCTAAAAGAAATCAAATCCACCCAAACATCAAGTTCACTATGGAACTAGAGTCGTCTCAATCTATTAATTTTTCTTGACCTTACCATTACCAGATTAAACGACCATTTCGATTTCAGTATCTATAGAAAACCTACACAAACCGACCATATCATACCTTTATCTTCCAACCATCCAATGTCACACAAATATGCAGCCTTCCATAGTTACATTCATCGCCTACTAACAATCCCAATATCACAATCTAACTACCATACAGAACTCAACACTCTTAAGCAAATAGCATTCAACAATGGGTATGACCCCAATATCATTAACAAACTAATAAATAAGAGACAATTCAAACTTTTGAGAGAGACTGCGTTCCCAGAGACTTGACCATCAAACCACATTTCGGTTCTTTACCTTACTTTAGGCAGTGTTTATAAAGTGTCCAAAATCGCATATTATTTCCAAAAAAACTTAATGAAGCCAAAACGGTAACACTTACTTTGTTCAACAAAGTTGCCCAGAAATTAAAAAATGCAATGCAAATGAAATAACGAACTTAGTGACTATTTCTGGTATAACCGGCAATAGCATACACTTAAACATATTTTCAATAAAAAGTTTACTCTCGAAAACCTATGCAGAATTTTTGTGAATTAAAATCCGTTTAGATTCTTCTACTTCTAGTTCCATGACCGTTATCGATCGTTGGATATCATGTTGGCTACCATATTCGCTATCGTGACTTTATTGACAGCAGCTCTAAATAACGATGTAGTTGATTTTCCATACCATTGCCTTAGATTTTTCAGCCATGATGTTCTTCTTCTACCAGGACCACGATTACCTTGGATCTTTCCCTGAATGATCAGATGTAAAAGATCATATTTTTCAGGGTGTCTCATAATATGACCGAAGTATTCCAGCTTGCGTTTCTTTATTATATTGACCAGTTGTGTTGTTTGGTTCAGCCGTCTAAGGACCTCCTCATTTCTAACTCTGTCGACCCAGCTTATTTTCAGTAGTCGTCTGT